TACCACTGGAGGGATAAGGTGATGGCCAGTCAAACCGAGGGGATCCGGAAGTCATAAGGTGCAGATGACCGACAGAGTTCCACTGGAACACCGTATCCTACATTATATGTTTACCTTGTATCATAATAATTGTTTCGTGCTAAAATGCCAACATGAAATCCTGAGCTATGCCTGTAATAAGCTCCAATCACTCGTGAACTATACATGCCAATGTCTCATACCATGATAAATGTCTCAAATTACCGTACAAAGATTATCACCTCATGATAACATGCCATTGTGTAACCTTGAACCATGCATATGATATGCCCAACTTACTTGATTTATTTGAACCGTTAGAGTGTCTTGGAACCTCACTGGGCTGTGTAGCTCATTCCACGTTGTGGTTTTCTTTTACAGGGTTCGAGACCAAGGGTACTCGTGAGTAGTACTAGAATGTTTTCTTTTGAAGACTTTAAGTTATATTATAACGGATGGCTATTGTACCATTTTCCGTTGGGTTGTATTTAAGCTTGAAAGCTACTTAGTTGTAAGTGTGAGATATTTGAAGTACCTTAATTGTGTATTGAAGTTAATTAAAGTATTTCGAGCTCTTGAATGATGGATTGTAGTGAGTCCTGGCGAGAGCTGGGCAGGCGTCCCGCGGATACCCTTTGGTTCGCCTTTGGGAGAAGTGGGGGCGTCACAATTTGGGCCTCACCCGAAACTCTCTCCAGAAATGCCTTTTAAAACAATGATTTGAACACAAAATTTGGGCAACCTCGCGACGCACCTGGCGCGAGGCACAAGCTAACTAGTAATCTTAAGGATTCCAATCTCAAGTTAATAGTATCATTTTTTGTCACACTAATTGTTAAGCTTGTAGAAAACCATTGAAAAGAAAGCTTGACCAGACATTCCATCTAAAATAATCTAAAGGGTTAATCACATTTAATCCTCTTAAGGTATACCCCATTTCTCAGTTTACCCCATAACCTTTAATTTTACCCACTTAACCCCCTATAGGACAAAATTGCCCTTGCATTATTTTGACTTTTCATTTACCTTGTTTTCCTTTCTTTTATTTCATTTTCTCTTTCTTCTTTATTTAATTCTTCCTCTTTCCCACAAAAATCTTCACCTTAATGATTGAAATTAAAAAAGAGGAATTGCAGAGATCTATCTTCCCCTTAAATGATTAAAAAAATTCAAATCACTTTCCTAAAATACAATTTTTTTAGTCTTTCAATTCTTTTAATTTTGGGTTTTCCTCTTTCCCTTCTAGTTTCTCATTTTATTCCCAAGAAAATATCTTAAGATGAAATTGTGACATGATTAATAATCATCAATTGAAATTTGTGACACGTGGCATCATACAAAAAATCAAAATTAGTTTTTGATACCTTTTAAACCTTCACTCAGAAATATGCAATTACAAATTCAAAACAAAAATTTTCGTTGAAATGAAATTTTCTATTGGGAAGGATGAAAGAGAGAAGAAAGAGAAGAAGAAATAAAAGAAAGGAAAACAATTTCATCTTATGATATTTTTTTGAGAATAAAATGAGAAACTAGAAAGGAAAGAGGAAACCCCAAAATTAAAAGAATTGAAAGGCTAAAAAAATTGTATTTTAGGAAAGTCATTTGAATATTTTTTTAATCATTTAAGGAGAAGATAGATCTCTGCAATTCCTCTTTTTCAATTTCAATCATTAAGGTGAAAATTTTTGTAGGAAAGAGGAAGAATTAAATAAAGAAGAAAGAGAAAAAGAAATAAAAGAAAGGAAAACAAAGTAAATAAAAAGTCAAAATAATGCAAGGGCAATTTTGTCCTATAGGGAGTTAAGTAAGCAAAATTAAAGGTTATGGGGTAAACTGAGAAATGAGGTATACTTTAAGGGGATTAAATGTGATTAACCCTAATCTAAACAATGATGTCAGAGCATCACCTAGTTAGTTATAACTGTTTCATTAATCTTGCGGGCAAAAGGATTCCAGCATTCTATCTGCTCACACATCAGAGTAAAATTATCAAAATCTCAGCAAAAATTAAAACTTTAAAAAGAATTAGCTGTAAATCATACTTCTAACAACAGCTAAAACTCGAATGTAGGGGTGAGATCAAATGATTACCCAATTGATAAACTTCAATTGCACTTGGTATTTAAGATTACGAAAGTAATCAAAGCCAAACTCAACATGCAAAACCGAATTCCAATATTCATTATATGTACACGTGGAATGAAAGATTCTAAATTTTGATCAAACCAAGTTACAAATGTATAATATTCTGTAGGATCTGAGAAGCAAAATTGTCAAAAGGAAACAAAAAATTCATCACGCAATCAAAGAATTGATGGCAAAAATGTACCCAACAAAAAGAAATAAAAGGAAAGAAAGATAATAGTGAGAGACGAATGTATCTCGTACCTACTTAATAGAAAAAAAAAAAAGAAAAAGAAATGTATCTTGTACTAGATCTTAAGAGCTTGAGCCAAGCCCCTAATTTTGTGAAAACTCTGAGAATAATAGGCCAAAGTCAATTGTACTTCTTAGGTAGCGAAGAATTCATTTTGCAACTTTCATGTGCATGGAGGTAGGAGTTTCCATAAAACGACTTACTACTCCAATTGCACAAAGAATATCGGGCCTTGTAACAATCACGTATCTCAAACTTCCCACAAGACTTTTGAAACGAGTGGAATCTTCCTTTTTTCCTTTATCAAACTTTGACAATTTTGCTCCAATTTCCATTGGCGTGTTCACAGAATTGCAGCCAAGCATTCCGAATTTTTCCAATACTTTCTTCACATAACTCTTTTGAGATATAAACATGCCTTCCTCCATTTGCTTCACTTCTAGGCCCAAATAATATGTCAAGAGCCCTATGTCAGTCATCTCAAATTCAAGTGAAATAGCCTTCTTGTACTCTTCAAACAAACTTGGGTTATTTCCAGTGTATACAAGATCATCCACATAAAGACAAACAATTAAAATATCATTATGATGAGTTTTAACGTAAAGAGCATGCTCATTAAAGCAACGAACAAAGCTATGATTTTGAAAATATTCATCAATCCGACTGTTCCATGCCCTTAGAGCTTGTTTTAACTCATATAACGCTTTTTTCAATTTCAAAACTTTATCTTCATGCCCTTCAATCATATATCCCGGTGGTTGCTCAATATAAACCGCTTCTTCTAGATAGCCATTTAAGAAAGCTGACTTCATATCAAGTTGATAAAGTTTCCACTTCATTTGAGCTGCCAATGAGATGAGAAATCGAATTGTTTCCATGCGAGCTATGGGTGCATAGACCTCTTTGTAATCAACCCCATGCTTTTGCTTGTAGCCTTCAGTAACAAGTCTTGCCTTGTATCTTTCCACTTCTCCATTAGCATTCTTCTTCACCTTGTATATCCGTTTAACTCCAATAGCTTCATGACCCTTGGCAAGAGTTGCTAGCTCCCAAGTGTTGTTCTTCTTTATTGCATTAATCTCCCCATCCATGGCTTGTTTCCACTTTATGTCTTTCACAGCTTCTTCAGAATTTAATGGCTCACTATCTGCAAGAAGACAACAAATTATTATTATCAAGAGTAACTTCTCTAGCTCTTTCATAAATCTCACCTATATCTCTCATTTTTGGTGGTCTTTCATTTGAACTTTCACCATTAGAATGAGAGGTAGGTGAATTAGGAGGAGTAGATGAGGATGAAGAACTCATGGGTGCAATTGTCTCCTCCTTTTCTTCTTTAAAACATGGAAAGAAATTTTAGGCTTTATCTACTTGAGCCTCCCAATTCCAGACTGCTTCTTCATCAAACTCAACATCTCGACTTACCACCATTTTTCCATTGCTTGGGTTGTACAACTTGTAACCTTTGGAATTTGAATCATAGCCAATAAAGACATACTTGATACTTCGATCATCTAGCTTGGATCGCTCTTGTTGTGGCACATGACCATATGCAATGCTCCCAAAAACTTGCAAATGATTAACACTTGACTTTCTTCCACTCCATGCTTCTTGAGGGGTTTGATCTTTGACATTTCTTGTTGGTGAACGATTGGATAAATAAACTACACATGAAACAGCTTCGGCCCAGAATTCTTTGGGCATATTTTTAGCTTTCAACATAGATCTTGCCATGTTAAGAATGGTTCTATTTTTCCTTTCCGTTACTCCATTTTGTTGTGGAGATCTTAGGACTGTTAAAGGACGGTGAATTCCATGAGTTTCACAAGAAACATTGAACTCTTTGGAAATAAATTCGCCTCCTCTATCGCACCTTAAAGCCTTAATTGCATAACCACTTTCCTTCTCAACAAGTGTTTTGAAATTTTTAAAAGCAACAAAAACTTCCGATTTTTGCTTTAGAAAATAACCCAAGTCTTTCTACTAAAATCATCAATGAAAAGCAAGAATATCTACTTTTACCAAGTGAAGGTGGATTGATAGGCCCACAGACATCGGCATGAACAAGTTGCAACGGTGTAGTTGTCTTTGAAGTGAGTTCTTTTGGAAAATTTTTCCTAGCATGTTTCCCAAGAAGACATGCTTCACACAGTTGATTAGGATGGTTGATAGAAGGCAGACCATTCACCATCTTCTTTTCACCCATAGCCTTTAGTGCTCCAAAATTCAGATGGCCAAATCTCATATGCCAACGCCATGCTTCATCTTGAACATTAGCCTTCAAGCATTTTGCTTCAACTGTCTTGAGATTCAAAACAAACATTCTATTCTATGACAAAAGTACTTTAACAACCAGATTAGCATATTGATCTCTAAGCCAAAGAAATCTATCTTTCATATGAATCTCATATCCATTTTCAAGAAGTTGTCCCAAACTCAAAATATTATTTTTTAATTTGAGAATATAATAAACATCATGAATCAGCTTATGGCTTCCATCTTTGACAAAGATTAGAATCGTACCTTTCCCTTGAATTTGGATTCTTGATGAATCTCCAAAAGTCACTTAGCCATTCACCTTCTCATTAAGCTTCACGAATTTTTATAGCCACATGTGATTGCTTGCTCCATTATCCAAATACCACAAACTATAAGCATCGCTATCTTCCTCCATGAGTGCCAACAACAAAGCTAACTCGCCAGTTTGTTGCTTGTCTTCAAAAAGATTAGCTTTCTCTTCTACATTTGCTGCATCATAACATTCCCAAGCAAAATGGCCAAGTTTATGACAGTTGTAACACTCAATTTTAGATTTATCATACCTCCTTTCATTCGTGTTACGATAGTAACCACATCCTCTTCCTCTTGCTCTTCCACGACCTCTAAATGACTGGTAGCTTTTCTCCTCATTAATTTTGTTGTCACCATATCCTCGTCCCCCTCGACCACGACCGTGTCCTCTTCCTCTGCCACGTCCTCTTTGGCTCTTTTCTTCGTCATGCTTCAAAGATGCTTTGGCTTTTAGAACTTGCTCCAAAGGCTCTTCAATTCTTCGTTTGATCTTATCTTCATGAGCTTGTAGGGAGCCCTCTAATTCTCCAATGGTCATTGAGTCTAGATCTTTTGACTCTTCAATGGCACACACCACATAATCAAATTTGGGAATTAATGACCGGAGAATCCTCTCAATCACACGGACATCTTCTATCTTTTCTCTGAATCTCTTCATTTGGTTCACAATAGTTTTCACCCTTGTACAATAATCTGAAATTAACTCGGACTGCTTCATCTTCAAAGCTTTAAACTCACCACGTCGGGATTGAAGCCTCGCCTTCTTAACTTTGTCAACTCCTTGGAAAACAGTTTTAAATATCTCCTAAGCTCCTCTTGATGTGGTTGCATCAGCCACCTTGTCAAACATAGAATCATCCAAAGCTTGATGGATGAGTGTGAGTGCTAATTGATCCTTCTTTTTTGTCTTTGACAAAGCATCTCTTTCATTTTGAGATAACTCATCTATATTTGTTACCTCCTCATAGCCATTTTCTACACTGTCCCATATATCTTTTGAGCCAAGCAAAGCCTTCATATGAATACACCATCTTTTATAATTTTCTTTTGTAAGTTGAGGAACTTGAAGAGAAGTACTTCCACTATTTGTCATTTCTTTCTTTCAGTAATTCACTCTCACTCCTATATTTTTCTCACACTTTGGAACCAAGTGTTAGGGTGATTATTTATATTCAACCTTTGGTGAAAACTGTCACCTATTAAACCCAAAATCTATATGGCGATTATTAAGAAATAAATTAACAAGAAAATTGCGGAAGCGTACCTGGATTCATATCGACAAACTGATATATGAATCTCCAAAGGTATTGGGATGGCCTTCCAGGTCAACACGTATTCGCTGATCCTTGAGAGAACCCTTTAGTATCTCTCTGGTATCTTTCCTGACGATGGGATATCAGGGAAGAGCTATATTTTGTGGTACTAGAAAATAGAAAATACGACAAAAAAATGATTCGTGTAACCTGGGGACCATAATCCTATTTATAGGTAACATTCTTGTTACCTTTTGGAACCCTATTTCAGCCCATCATAGAAATAGGAGCATTTAACTTTCTACACATTAAAGGCCTACATCCTATTAGATACATTAAGTCCAAACCATATTTGATCACTTTAATTGGACTTAACTTTATTTGACAGTTTGCAACCCATAATTATTCACATATAAGTCCAATGTTGGATTAATGATCCAACAATCTTCCACTTGGACTATATGTGTAACCTTATAATTATGTTTCGCAATTAACCATATGAGGTCAATTTTACTGTCATTATTAAAATGTATCTGTAGCCAATTCGGTCCATCAATCACACCAATATAGGATCAAAGCGACCTTTGTCACAATTTCGTAATTCGACCCATCAATGGTCACATATATCGATGCAATTGAATGACATGAATCATGATTTGGATATGTAGTATGAAAATTTCATGTAATGTGACCAAAACATGTATATTTCCAACTGGTCCACCTTAAATTTTATGAGATCAAATCATACCAAAGTCAGAGTGTAAATAAATCCAAACTTTATTTATGCATAAAATATCCTTAAAATATTAATCAACGAAAAGTATCATAAGAGCATTTAAAATATCAAACTCCCACTAAAAGTGTACATCATTTATCAACATGACACCCATACGAGCAGTATGCTCATGAAACATTCTGAGTGGCAATCCCTTAGTAAGCGGATCCGCAACTATGGAGTTTGTCCCGATGTGCTCTATCGATAACTGTCCACTCTGTACTCTTTATTTAACAGTCAGGAACTTGATATCTATATGTTTAGATTTCGTCGAACTCCTGTTATTATTGGAATATAGAACTACTGACTTATTGTCATAAAATAATTTGAGTAGTGTTTCAATACTATCCACTACACGTAATCCTGTGACAAAATTTCGCGCCAAATTCCTTGATTGGATGCCTCATAACAAGCTATAAACTCTGCAGTCATAGTAGAAGATGTTATGTGGGACTGTTTAGTACTCTTCCAGAATATGGCACCTCCAGTCAACAAGTAAATATAGCCTGACGTTGCCTTCATAGTATCTTGGCATCCAGTATAATCGGAATCAGTATACCCAATGATCTCTAACTTATCTAACTTCCGATACGTAAGCATGTAATCTTTTGTTTTCTGTAAATACAGCAAGACCCGTTTGGTTGCTTTCCAATGATCTAATTCAGGATTGTTTAAATATCTACCTAACATTCCAGTAATGTACGCAATATCCGGACGCATACATACTTGAGCATACATTAGACTCCCTACTGCTGACGCATAAGGAATCTTTTGCATCTCTTTTTCCTCAAAAGTATTCTTAGGACACCGTTCAAGACTAAATTTATCTCTTTTAGCCACGGGAGTGTCACCTGATTTACAATTTTGCATGTCATATCTTTTGAAAACCTTTTCAATATAACCCTTTTGTGATAGTTCTAAAATATCCTGAGATCGATCCCGGTGTATTTGTATGTCTAACACAAAAGATGCATCACCAAGATCTTTCATCTCAAAATTCTTAGTTAAAAATTTCTTGGTTTCATGCAATAGACCAATATCGTTGCTGGCAAACAAAATGTCATAACATATAATATCAGAAAAATATATTTGCTCCCACAGAACTTATGGTATATACAATCATCTACTAAATTTATCTCAAAATCAAATGAAATGATCACTTGATGAAATTTGAAATACCATTGTCGAGACGCTTGTTTGAGCCTATAGATGGATTTTTTAAGTTTGCAAACCATATTCTTTGGATCTCCTGATACAAAGTTTTCTAGTTGCACCTCATCAATGTTACCATTGAGAAATACTGTCTTTACATCCATCTGATGTAACTCAAGATCGAAATGCGCCACTAATGCCATGATAATTCTAAAAGAATCCTTGGAAGAGACCGGAGAGAAGGTTTCTTTATAGTCGATACCTTCTTTTTGTGTAAATTCCTTAGCGACAAGACGAGATTTGTATCTTTCTACATTGCCTTTCGAATCTCTCTTGATTTTAAATATCTATTTACAACAAATGGGTTTCGCACCTTCTGGCAATGGGATAAAATCTCAAATATTATTGTCCTTCATGGATTTAATCTTCTCATTCATGGCATCGATCCACTTTTGAGAATTTGAACTTTTCATGACTTGACGGAAGTTGATTGGATCATCTTCCATCAATCCAGTGTCATTCTCATATTCTTGGAGAAAAACAATGCAATCATCTGGCACTGCACTTCTCCTTTCTCTAGTGGATCTTCTTAATGGCATTGGTTCTTGGAGAGGAAGAGTTTGTTCTTCTATAACAGTTTTTTTTTCTTCGACATTATCTTGATTTGTCATTTCATGATCTTGTTCAGGAATAGGATCCTGAACAAGATCAATGACACCTGTGGGAATATTAATATATTTCTCTTTAAAGACAATATCCCTTACTGTATTTTCTCCCCCAAACTCGACATCCTCAATGAACCAGACATTTCCTGTCTCAAAAATTGATTTAGTTGTGAGATCATAAAACTTGTAACCTCTGAATCTTTCAGAATATCTAATAAAATAACAACTAATCGTTCTTGAATCCAGTTTTTTTTCATTTGGTCTATAAGGCCTTGCCTCAGCTGGATATTCCCAAATATGTAAATGTTTTAAACTGCGCTTTTTCCCTGTCCAAACCTCATAAGGGGTTTTGATAGTTGTTTTAGTTGGAACTCTGTTAAGGATATATGCTGCAGTCTTAAGTGTTTCTCCCCAGAGTGACTCTGGCAAGGTAGAATGATATATCATACTCCTTACCATGTCTTTAAGCGTTCTCTTTCGCCTTTCAGCTACACCATTCATAGTGGGTGGACCCGGCATAGTGTACTGTGGGACGATATCGCATTCCTCTAGGTATTTAGCAAATGATCCTGGACGTTGTTCACCTGAACCGTCATATCTACCATAATACTCACCACCACGGTCAGATCTGACGCTTTTAATTCTTTTGTTGAGTTGATTCTCAACTTCAGTTTTAAAATTTTTGAACACGTCTAGTGACTGTGACTTTTCTGAAATGAGATATGTGTAACCATATCTTGAAAAATCGTCTATGAACGTTATAAAATATTGTTGACAATTCCAAGTAGATATAGGAAATGATCCAGAAATATCTGTATGTATAAGTTCTAAGACGTCTAAGGACCTATTGGCTTCAAATCTCCTTTTATTGGTTTGTTTCCCTTTTATACAGTTAATACAATCATTAAAATCTGTAAAATTCAAGGGGTCGAGAATTTCATTTGACACAAGCCTTTCCATTCTCCGTTTGGAGATATGTCCCAATCTCTTGTGCCATAATGCAGCTGAATTCTTATTGGCTAATTTTCTCCTTACTCCTCTAGTACTAAAATGCAGAGATTCATTAAATGAGTCAATCGTATCAATTAAATATAGATTATCGTAGTACATTAAAGAACCAGAACCAACCAATTTTGAATCATGAAACAATTCAAAATTTTCATTTTCAAATGAATAAAAATAACCAAATTTGTCCAAAGCAGAAATAGAAATTAAATTCCGTCGAAAAGACGGTACAACAAATGTTTCATTAAAATCCAAATAAAATTCGGTCTTTAACAATAATCTAAAAACTCCAATTATCTCAACTTGAACTGTTTTGTCATCGCCCACGTTGATATATCTTTCATTATCATTAGGCTTTCGGCAATTCAGGCAATCCTGCATAAACACACTTGTGACAGCCCCACCTCCCCCTAAGGCGAACCAGAGGATTCGGCGGGCCGCCTGCCCAGCTCTCGCCGGGACTCAGTCGTTCACTACATTCCTCAAACAGATTACAAGAATAAACCTCAAATATTACAATATAAATCTCCAATATACATCAAATTCTCCAAAAATTACATGTCATAAGCGAAGCGGAAATAATTCCAAATAAGCCATCCAGTCACGTGAATAAGTACTACAAGCCCTTCCTTCACCTTGAGCCCTGTGGAGGGGAATAAAACATTTTTGGGGTGAGTTAGAAGCTCAGCGAGTAACCAGTAAAAGCAGTCATCAAATATATTGCACAGTAATGTATTCCAATGATGTCATGAATCAGAGATCAAATGTACGTCTTTTGCTCTCGTGAGCCAGTGAAATCATAGCACTTGAACACCCAACGCTCAAATAGATCATTTAACATTAACAGAGAGGGAGCCCCTTTTTGAGC